AATAACAAAATGGAAGTTGAAATGATGCTTGAATTTTCCAACTGTTTTCCATCACGGATCGAAACTCCCATTCAGTTCGACAACCATGCTCGTGTGTCGTGTGGTGTGTCGCAGTGTCACCGATCGGAGCATTGATTAACTCCTCCCGCGACCCTCCCTCGCAAGGGGGGGGGAGGGTGCCGAGTAAAAACCACTTATGTCCGCGTGGTTTTCGTTCGAGATACGCGATTCTTGATCAGCCGGACGGACTTGTCCGCGATCCCCCCTTCCTCCCCCGTCAGCCTACCTTCCACGAAGAGAAAGAAGAAAAAATTACCTGACACATTTGGATTCTAAAATTCTCGACACAGCACTGTGTATCCCGACGAGAGTGGGAATGAATTCGTCGCGACGAGGGCGTGTTCCCCCCTCACCCCCCTCATCAGCCCCTACCCCCCTCATCAGCCCCTACCCCCCTCTTAATCGCTCTCAACCCTTTTATCCGCCTCCATTTGTCCACATGAAATTTATTGCGAACAGTAGCTTCGTATAGTTTAGAAATGTACGCATAAACTGTCGGTTTCAGGGAAAATGAAGAATTTCCAGGTGTCTGAAATTTCGTGAAGTTCATGTTTGAGAAGTAACAAAAGAGTGAACTGAGCATGAGAATATCCTTGGTTTCTAAAATAAGCAATTACTGGAGGAGGAGATCGACTGTGAAACTGCAAAAATGCGTATCTTGGTTGAAGTGTTTCGAAATTTTCGCTCCTATCTAATTTTTTAAAGGAGACCGAACCATATGATAGCTCGAATTTTTCGCAGAATATATTTCATAAAGTGATGAAAAATCACTGAAATTTTCGAAAAATAGCGCCTAGTTGTTTTTTACGTAGGAAATAAAGTATGAAAGGGAGTCTGCAACGCCACAAACCGAGATACACATATCTATGGTTTCACTCTCGACGTGACCAAATTACCCAATTCGCAATGTATGTGTGTCTAAATAGGAATGCCGCCTGATAACGTCATATGGCGGAAGGTTTTCTCACTTTTAAAATTATTTTCTTAAAATTTCCTATATCAGGAAAAATCATGAAATACATTGCGAACGCAGCTTTTTGAGCACTATCAGATACAGCGATACAAAAATTTCCCGCAAATTCTCCAGTCAAGTTATTTGGACGTATTTCTGTCAAACGGAACTATGTGCATTGAGACATGAACCCTGAGACCCATAAGAATTGTATGCATAACAGGGCTCGCGTCATAATGCACATAGTTCCGTTTGGCAGAAATACGTCCATTTAATTTTCCGCAGTGCAGACGACTGGGTCGAATCCAGTCTTATAAATTCCTTATCCATGGTAAAAGCTTGCAACGGTTGAATTATCAAGGAGGCTGCGCTATGGACCTGGACCCCGAACCGTTGGAGGTTAGGTCCGCGGCGGAGTTGGTTCGACCACTCGACTTGGGCTGATACGGATCCGCTCTGGGAATTGTGATCGTGGCGCAATTAAAGCACAGCCCGGTCCTGGCCCGCGGTCTCGAGCTTGGTCCTGCGACCCTTGGGGTCCTCGGCCCCCGCCCCCCACCCCCGCCTCGCAGCTCTGAATTCTTTAGGACCTCGCAGTTGCCATGAACAAGAATTCCGGAAAGCTCCGTTTTTCGCGAGTTTCCTATACTGGGCTTCACTATTTCAAACGCATGTCCACTGAAAAAAAAGATTGGTAGAATGGTAAATTCTACCAATCTTCAAGTCGATTCTGCCAGAGGAATGGTTACCTGTACCAGTACATAGTAAAGTTTACCTCTCTTCTGGCAGACTTGACTCTGAATAACGCTGTGTGAAATACAGCGTGAAAGAATGGTAAATTCTACTAATTTTTTTTTCAGTATAAACCAAGTGGATTTTATACCTGCTGAAGCATATCGGTATATATTCAGAGAAATTGTTTTAACTCTTGTACCCTGTCTCTTTATGACTCTTAAATCAGCACTTTGGAAAATACTCGAAATGGACGAGTAGAAAAGGTGCAAATTTAAGCAAAATGATACATGCTTTCTAATTAAAATTCCAAGGTGACTTAAGGTGATAGGATACGCCGGTTTTTTCAAGTAGCGATTTTGCAAGTTGGCAACACTGTTTTTTCTCCATTTAAATGTACGTAAAACAATCGATTCTGGGTGAGGCAGCTTGTCGCACACAAAATCGATAGTTTTAATAGATTCAAAGAGAGGAAAAACAGTGTTGCTAACTGGCAAAATCAAGCGACTTTCAAATGACTTTTTTCTAGCCTTGCGTTTAAGTCTCCGGCCTTTACCGTACAATATGCGAGTCTTCCCTTAACTCATGGCCCAAGATTTTACCCTGTTGGCTGATTATTGAAACAGATAGACAGATGGATAGACGATGAAGAGGCAATGAAGTGATACTTTTGAAGAAGTTGATAGAAAACTTATTTTGTTTGTTGGTCCTTTATGACAGGTAGGAGGTTGTGAAAGACCTCTCGTCCGAATGAAAGAATTCACATAATCATCTTTCCCCCGAATTTTCTACGATTCGTCCTGACGTCAATAGACGATGGGAAATGCGGGAAATGGTGGCTCACGGCGAAGAGGCGCGGCGCAGTCAATCCTTATTTTCGGCGGAGCGTTGCCAATTTCAAAAAAATTAATGATTTTTTTAGCATGTCCTTTTAAAGTTCATTTAATAATTTTTCCTTAGTTACTTTATTGCCAGAAAAAAGTTGCCTACCCTTAGGAAAATATTGTGATGTTATTTAACCCTTTTTGAAAAATGCGGTGTGTATGTATGAAGAAGGAAGGCGGAGGTGTGCATTAAGGAACTAATAACTGCTTTGAAAAAAAATGAACAATTTTTTGAAGTTAGAAAAATCTGAAATAAATACAACCATTATGAACTAATTAAGTGGCAGCAGTTAGTGTGCAACTTGAAGTTTCCCTTGCAGACTTGATTATCTTATTCCCAGTGCAGATACGTGATTTCATGCGGATTTAGAAATATTGGTTCCTTATAGTTAAAATGAAGGATTCAAGTCACATCGAAATCGAACCAATTAAAAAGGTTTAAAATTTAATTTCCCTATTACACTCAGTTTTAAAGATGAACGACATTTTGCATTCAGGAGCTACTGTTTCTGGCTCATGTAGAAAAATCATATGTGCCATTAGATTCCTTGCCTGATAGGTGCTTTTATGACTGAGCTTGAGATACTCGTTATACTGATTGCAGGATGTAGTCCAGATCAAATTCAACGTCCTCATTCATATTGAGAATATTTTCAGCGATTTTGAAATTTTGATAGGAGAAAATTTGCAGGTAGTTATGTTCAAAACTACGACAAACACACTTTTTCCAAAATGTGATTTGACTGGATACGTAGATAGGACTACATTTTGCAATTAGGAACTACCTACAATTCCTCGCCAATCCGTGAAAACTCTCTTGTGCATAGGGAAACTAATAGCACATACGTTGTTTCTAAACAGAGCCAGATATTTCTGTTCCTTTTTCAAATTGCATTAGACGATTTGACTTTGTTTCGTCTTCCTCGGTTCAATTTAAGTTCTTCAAAGTGAAATTTCAAAACTTTCAAAAAGTACTTAAAGCTATAAAAACGCAAATTTTTCACCGACCATCCTGAGATTTGGCATCCCGCGCCGGGAGCAGAGACACAGCGCGACCTCATCTACATAACAGGTTTTGACGTAGGGCTTCTTATGTCAAATACCGATTTTCTAACCTCCCGGGAAAACATCCGCGGAGCGCGCGCAGTGGCGCAGCTTGAACGATCGATTATCGATATCCCCATTTGAAGGCATGGTAAAAGATCGATTATTACAGTCACCCTGTGTATCGATCTTTTTCCATGGGTTTAAACGGCGGATCGATCGATACATCGCAAAGCACGCCACGCCACCGGTGTTTTGACGGTCAGAGCGGTGAGTCGGGAGCTGGGAGTTTATATTCAAAGTATATTCAATTTTTTATCCGCCCGAGCGAGCTTCGGCGACGGCGGTGCGGGGAGCGGCGCTCCCGGACACGTGACTCCCGAAGACAATAGGCGCCCTGCATCAAGTGCTATTGTCCGGCGGCCGGGGTCCGCGCCACTTTCGACCAATGAGCGAGCGCGCGTGCCTCTCTTATCACTGCTCCATGCGCCGCGCCGCGGAGCCGGGGCCGCGCCCGACCGCTCCCGCCATCCCGATTTCCTTTTTCGGACGACACAGATCCTAGTCGTATTGTAATGAAGATGGCGGTAGGTATGCTCTTCCCCGGCCCCGGTTGCCAACTCGGCTCCTTCTCAGCATCTTTTCAGGTCGACTGTAAACTCACATTCCTCTTGGATGAAAAGCCTGTTTTTGGAAATAAATATCGATGGTCATCGATATCAGTGAGGAGGGGCCTTAGTCTACCAGTTGTGTACCATTGCACGGTGGGACACATTTTGCCTGAAGTTGAAAGACATAAATTCTTGAGTTGTCGAAAACACAGGGCTTAAGTTTTTGAAAAACGTTATAAAGAGAATTTTTTCCCGGAAGATAAGGTCCCTTTTCACAGATTGTATCGCATTTAGTCTTGAAAGAACCTTAAAGGAAACTCGGTTCTGCAAGAGAGTTTTCTCGTTAGTTCTGTCCGGTTTGAATGTTCGGTTGCACAAACTGAGGATACGGTTCCTAAAACCGAGAGAGCGGTTACATGAACCGAACAATAAGGCCGATATTGAACACCGTACATTCGGCTTATATGACGGAACTGTTTTTCTTAGTGTCTTTCTCAATTGGACTACATTTTGCAATTCGGAACTATACATTCTAGCCGGTTTAAAAACGACGTATGTGCCATTAGTTTCCCTATGCATATAAGAGTTTTTCCAAAAGAGCCAGAATTTATAGTTCCAAATTGCAAAATGCAGTTCAATTAAGGTCTATTGTATACTGTGTTTTACAGTTTGATCCGTAGCATGATAACTAACTGAGTTGTTTGTTATGTGTTTCAGCAACCGGACCGTCACCAGATGCTAGCAACTGCGTACGACCCGTCGCGGGACCTGAGTCCGAACCTGCCGACCCTGTCCGGCTCGGGGCGGGGGAGCGAGCCGATGACGACGTTCGGGGCGAACGGGCCGTGCGCGGGCGGCGGCGGGGGCGGGTACTGCCCCCTCAAGCGGGAGTACGAGGCGCCGGAGGAGGACTGCCGGGGGTGCCGCGACGCCAACGCCAACTGCGACGCCAGCGCCGACTCCGGCGAGTACTGCATGAAGAGCTGCTCCGAGGACTACCTGGTCGAGCCCAAGCCGGAGCCGCAGGGGCAGCGCGTGGAGGCCGCCCCCGCCGACGGGAACGCCGCCGAAGACGAGTGCGCCGGCTGCGGGCGACGCATCCGCGACCGATTCCTCCTCCTCGCCTGCGACCGCCGCTGGCACCAGGCCTGTCTCCAGTGCTGCCAGTGCCGGGCCACCCTCGAGAGTGACGTCACCTGCTTTACCAAGGACGGCAACATCTACTGCCGCAAGGATTATTATAGGTAAGCACCCTTCCGCACACTCCTCTTCAACGGGGCCAGTATTGAAAACGATAGACAAAGCTATTGACGAATAAAACAAAAGGGACATAGATCGAGGGAGCCTATTGGTGGAAGCACTGGAAAAAAACACATTGGATCTAGAGTCTTGACTCTTAAAAACATCGACGAGAAAAAGTACTCTTGATTCAATCGGAATCTAGCATAAATCAAGAACCAAGCCTCTTAATTTAAGCGGATTTTGTTTTGATTCAAGCAAAAATCCGATTGAATCAAGAATATTTTTACTTGTCAATGTTTTCAAGAGTCTGGACTCTAGATCCAATGTGTTTTTTTTTCCAGTGAGCGGGTGGTTGCAATGGACATATGAGTTAGGTATTAGACTAACTAACGGCAACCGACAAGAGACCCGACAGTCAAGTCCATCATTTTCCCCCTCAGTCTGTAAGAACCACCAGTTGCGACCAATATGATCAGCGGGGCGATTATTGAAATCCGCAGACAAAGCTATGGACAGAAAAAAACAAAAAGGATACAGAGGGATCCTTTTGGTGGAAGCGGGTGGGTGCAATGGACAAATGAGTCAGGTAATAGACTAACTGGACGTACTTCTATCAACGAAACGAAGTGCCATTGGGGAAGGGAGGGGGAGGGGGGCTTGGATTGACGGATGTTGCAGAACGCGGATCCTACTTCTGTTTGACAGAAGGGGCCATCGGGGATTCTAAAATCCTTGAAAGGAACTAAAGGCGCTTAGTTCCGTTTAACAGAAATACGTCCAACTAACGGCAACCGACAAGAGACCCGATAGGTAGTCCATCATTTTCCCCCTCAGTCTGTAATAAGAACCACCAGTTTCAACCAATAGGATTCCTTTATACCCCTTTTGTTTTCTTTGTCTATTGCTTTGCGTATCAATTTCAGTAATCGGCCCGCAAGAAGCCTTCATAAATTAAGTGACGCTGTATTAGGGAGGGGGTATGAACCACTTTGCAATTGAATCGGACTTGAAAAGTTCGGAAAATTGCATTTTAAATTGACGTCTGTAGATCCAAAATGTGAATTTTAAAGGCGGCTCCCCTAAACTTTCCGAGGGAGGTCAGGAAAGCTCCATACCCATGAAAATTGGATTTCTTGGTGTCAATATCCTCAGAACAACTGTTTCCTGGAGAATCTCGTCAATTTGGAGAAATGTGTGAATGAGGCTCTGACTTCAACGGGTTGATTGTTGAATATCGTTATCGAAAGACCTTAACTGATAAGTCCCTATCTTAACAATGACATATATCGATATATGTTATACATCGATGTCGAATCGTAATCGAATGACATTCATCGATAACAGTCTATCTTAACACTGCTACATATCGATCAAGGTCATTCGATAACTATTGAACAATCGATGCGCTGCTCTCATCCAGCTGAGAATCATGCGGACAGAAGTTTTCCAACACAGGCTCCTGGCCGCTCAGGACTAACATGGTCGGCAAGCAAGCTCTTCCCATCCTTCCATTCTCTTGCCCGCGGACTCTTTCTCATCGATGACTTATTTCTTCTTCTTCCTTTTGTTTGACCTGTCGCGATGCTGAGTTGTGATTGGTTACCGCATGTCGGTAAGCTGGTTCTGCCGGCCTGATGTCATTGTCTCTCCGGACGTGATGTGACTTCGGCTCGGTTTTTTTTTTTTATCCCGGGTTTTATTCGAGTGACAGGAAACGCGTAGGAGTACTTGCATATCGATGGCGCGACTGCAAAAGTCTATTTTTGAGTTTCGACCCCCAAAATTTAGAGACTGGTTTAATTTGGCAGCGTTAAGAGGACTTAAGGGAATTAGTCATTTCTACATTGGGCCTTTTTTGAAAAGAACCTGTGTATTATAAGCGGAAAAAATGTGTATGTTAGTCGGAAGAATAATCCATGTGCTCAGTCACATATTTCGCAAAGTTTTATCAAAATTTCGTTATCGTTGTTGAACATCAAATAATAACTTAAGGGTTTGTCGAAGCCTATTAATTGATTAATTAAGCATCAATGAGTTATTCAGGAGAGCTGTTTAAATAAAATTGAGAGTCACCGTAAACACCTCCGTATGAGTCTACATAGATCTAGTATCTAAATACCGCAAAATTGGCTATTACTTGTAGTCTTACTAGTAATTAATTATGATTATTACTCGTTTAATTGATCTTATATGTCATTAGAGTTGCTGTTGGCGCTTATTTTATCTCGTGCATTGTACGCTTCAAAAGCGAACTTTCTGAGGGTTAAAATCGGAGAATGAATTAAACCTATCTTGCCACGCTCGTATTATTTCCACACGTTGAAGTTTTTCTGCGAGTCTGTGTAATCGCGGTTCAGTTATTTGTCCGACTTGAGCAAAGTTAAAGGTCGATCAGACAAACCGCTGATAAATTAATTGTTTTATGAAATGAACTACTCATGATAAAGAAGTTTTCTTGTCAAAACAGTTGCCGTATTGTACGAGCTTCGTTTCATCCTCATCTGTTGTGACGTATTAAATATAGAAAGTGCGAAGTTTGTTCAACAGCACTCTGTTCATTTTCAGATACTCTTACTGTCAAGATGCATGCAAACTCTTACTTGTATCTCCTTTCATAATGCGTGAAAAGAAGTACGCTGTTCGTCAATATTGCGAAGTGGGAGTTTTCATAATAATCTATGCGGTAACGCAATCAGTGGGTGGCGTGCTTTGCGATACATCGATTGATCTGCCATTTAAACCTGTGGAAAAGGATCGGTGAATAGGGTGTCCGCAACGAACACCTCAATAATAGATTCTTTATCATAGCTTCAAATGGGAGAAATATCGATAATATATCATTCACGCTTCGCTATTGGCCGCAATGGATTAAGAGGGGTGTCCACGCATGTCTTGGAGGACGTAAATAACGTAAAATACTTAAAACAACGTACGGGGGTGCCTGGACTAGCGTTAGAATTGCGTTGCGAGGAGTGGATGAACGTCAAAATATCGGAAACATCGCGTTACGCAATTCATAAGCAGCCCCCAAGTCAGTCACCAAAGAAATGAGGAAGGATAAGTATACTGCCGCGCTAAGGAAGAACGCCGTATGAACATTTGAGAGTTGCCAAATTTCCTTCGATAAATTGTTTATTTTTGAGGAAAGTCATGATTATTTTTCCTTGAAATTTTCAGAATCTTTAGGTGAAATTGCTGACAAAATTACCTAAAAAATTGGGAGAAAAATATTCATGAATTTACCAGAAAATTCGGGTTTTATCAAAGGAAATTTTGCAACGCTTGAAGGTTCATACGGCGTTTTTCCTTAGCACAGCAGTATAGGGTGTAATAACTAAGAGGCACAGACGCGCCCGGCGAAAACGACAAATATACGATAGATCATAATCGGCGTTACGCTTGTTTTGTTCAGCATAGTTTCGAGCGAATCTAAGTTTAACCCCGGGGGCGGGAGGAAGAGGCGCTTTGGTTGCGCTCAACTTTGGAACGGTTTCGTTGTATCTTCCCAATAACGTTAGGGCGCGAGCAACGCCAAGTGAAGCTGTTAACGTGGGCGTGTCCCAGCGGAGCTTGTATTGTTCTTTTTTATCCAGCCATCAATTCGGGCACTCGGGCTTTACTCACTCCCCCCCCCCCCCCCCTCTGCCCCCCCCCTCCCGGCCGTGGCTGAATCTGTAGTTCCGTAGTTTATTGCCAACAGCTACCAAGTTGGTGAAGATGGTCGCTTTCAGGAGTTGAGAGATATCGCCAATCAGGAGCGAAGAAAAACCTACAAGCTCCTCCGCGGATTCTTCATGGAAGGGATAAGATAAAACCAATGTTGCGAGGGTCGAAACAAGGAACGGAAGAACGGGGGGAGGGGGCGCGGAGGGGGGGAGCGGTCGGGAAAACTCGTTATTTTGAGCGTAAACACGTCGCAATGTGCAAACGAGGGGTCCGGGAGTCTACCTACATTTCTGGTTCCCGGGACTCATAGTAGTCGAGATAAAAACATGTAAATGTTGTACCCTCTACCGGGCCGGATGACAAATATAAGATGGTGTGTGTAACAAATAGGCCGGGCAGCGCGTTGGCCATCGGCCAGCCAATGCTGAGGCGTGATTCTTGATGTAAAGGGTAAATGATGGAACAGGAGATAGATGCTGGTGGCCTGGTCGTGACTCTACCCGGACTCCTGTACACAGCTCGATCTTCGAACCTCCTACCCAGAACTCCTGCCCTTGCCCGGTGCCTCTGCCCATCGTGGACACCGGACAGGACAGTCGGGACACCCGATTTTCCCCGTCGTTTGCTTTAGCAGTCCTGTCCACCGATTAAATAGTCTCCCCTTACCCCCCCCCCTCACTCTTTCGATCAGCCAATAGTCCATTCTTTGTTGCCACATCCACATTCCAAGGAATTTCATCGGAGCCTTCGGGGAAATGGCGATACATCCTTGCTCTCCGCCCAGCGCGCAGGGAGACTACTGCCGTGCTAAGGAAAAACACCGTATGAATCTTCAGGCGTTGCCAAATTTCCCTTAATGAGACACGAATTTCTTAGTAAACTTATGAGTATTTTCACCGTGTAGGTGTGCTCCACAAATCAACGCCGAAAATAAAAATGTGAAAACTGTGAAGATATTTCGCGGGACAATGGATCGCCTGAGATTTACGATGTGCCGATTGCCGGCGGTACTAAAATTTTACAACCGGTAGACCACTAAAATATATCCACCATCGATTCATCGATTTTGAGATGACTGATTTTTATGCCATCATAATTCATTCTTTTCTGCAGTGGGTCCGTGGCAGTTAACGCGTAGAAGTTTCAGGAGCACTTATCGTTTTTTCTCTTTCTCTTTGAAATTTTGTGTTTTATTTGAACTTATTTCACCCGGCAATGCTTCTTGGGTAGTTACGGTTCCTCGTCTGGGAAGTAACGAATCTTCATTTGAAAAATACTTTGCAAAAGCAATGTTTTTAGGATAGCTCATTCATTGTAATATAATATAGAGTGTCAC